AAAGCTTTTCTATGGAAATCAAGTATCAATGAAGCTATTGTGAGAGATTATGGCTATAAAAATGTAGACTAGTTATGAATTCTCACAGGAAAACAGCACTCTCAGAAAGAGTAAAGGGCACCAGTGCCTGAGAAACCCCTCTGCTGTGGCTACTCTTGCTCACTCTTTTGTGAATTCGGAGTCGTACCTACAAAGTGAAGGGACCCTTGGTTCAAAACTCACTAAGTTCATACTGTGCCATTAGCTTTGTGAGCTGATGGCTCTGGAGTCAAGCCTAACAGTCACCATCTGCTGTTATGCGTCCAAGAAAGAACCAAATGATTTTTATCAGTCTTAAATACAGCTTTTCAGAAATCATAAACTGAATATAAAACAGACCTTTGTCACAAAAGACAAAACAGTAAAGAACTTTGATCAAAGTTTAAAATTTGTACCTACCTTTATCTTTTTGAATATTTCAATATTAGAACTGTAAGTATTCACTTATAATATATAAAAATGAATATGAAATAATAAATACTGCAAAATGCCTGAACCACGATGGATTTTACATACAATTTTTTAAACCTGTGATTTATTACTCAAACTAAGATTATCACTGATTGCGATTCAGAGTCAAGGGTGTAGAAAAAAACGAATGGAAGAAAACTAGAAAGGAAATGCTCCCGAATTTAGGAAGGATATTATCACAAAGAAAATAGTTTCAGTATTTTTTTCTCAAAGACTCAGAAAACAGAATTTATTATTCGGCCCCAATTAAAATGGCCACTAAATACTATGAAGTCCACAAAGGAAATGCTCCCGAATTTAGGAAGGATATTATCACAAAGAAAATAGTTTCAGTATTTTTTTCTCAAAGACTAAGAAAACAGAATTTATTATTCGGCCCCAATTAAAATGGCCACTAAATACTATGAAGTCCACATTTTTCACAACCATCTTTCTAGATTTTTATTTTCACTCTGGACATTTCAAGAAAAATTCATCAAATTTTAAGCAATTTTAGTATTGAGTAGCTCAAAAGTATTGTTTTTCAGGTTATGGCAGAAAAGAACAATTAAGGTACCCTTAAAGGGTGCTGTTGTTGGAAACCATTTGCACCTAGTGTTCATTATGACTAGTCATAACAGACACCGATCTCATCCTGGCCAAGATCACTCACTTGGAAACACTAACGTGCAATAAAGGTTCGTCTGTTAACAAGAGCCAACCTTAGTATTGTTGAGTTTTCAATGTTTTGAAAGTAAACCAATGAATACTTCTGAAATCATCATATATTCATATATACATACTGATGACCAGAAATGAGTAATGTAAAATTTGTTCTCTTAACATTATCAGGAATGCATAAACTAGGAAGAGTGCTTTTCTTTTGAATCTGAAAATTGGAATTTTCTTCCTCTAAAGGAATTATATCCTATTCATATATTTTCCTTAAATATATTACTTCATAAAATATTATTCTACTATATATTCTAATCCTTATAATACTGATAAAAGAATTACCGAAACTTTGTATTATTTTACATGTATATATTTTAAAAGCATTATATTCCTTAATATCTGATTGTGATGCATAATTTGTAATTATCTTTGAGTCAGTTAAATGTAAAAAACAGAAAAAAAAATGTATTCTAAAACCAATGGCCATCTATTATTTTAAAAAATACACATATAATTCACTTTGCAGCCACAATTGTTTAAACTGCACCTTGCAGAGCTGGCTGAACCATTTATCCTAATTGCTCTTTGTATAGTTTCATGTTTTCCTTGCTTTTTTGCTGCAAAACTTATTCAAACTAAATAAAAGAAACTTAAAATAATGAAAAAGGAAAAGTATTATGATTGAAGGAGAAAATAGCTGAGGATCAGAAGCAGAAGAGATGTGAATTTTGTCATTTTAAGTGAAGAAAACAAAAAACAGTATAAAAGAATTTAGTTATACCAGTAGGAAAAGGGCTAAAATATGAAGCCAAAATAAAATGAAAATAAATGTCAGAGAAGACAAAAGATGCACAAAAGAGAATGATGATCTTCAGAGAGATGAGAAAGGAAAACCTGTTAAGACAGCATAGAAAGACAGTACGACTTATATGGAGGGTGAGAGTGACAGGAGGCAGAAGGTAGAAGATGCCAGGAAAGGCCAAGAGAGTGTTTTAAATCACTTATCTGGGTGGTACATCTCACTCACCCAATTTACTTTATTTCATTATTCATTATTTTAACCCACAGCTGAGCACAGGGTAAGTTTGTTTTGCTTCCCCCTCTGAATTCACTGAAAAACTCAGCTAGTATTTCAAGTTACCTCTGGCTGTGGCTACCCCTCAGCACCTTGGAGATTTTCCTTAAGGGGGAAACAAACATCTCCTGTGAGATGACGTCCTCACCTGATGCCAGTTGTCACAGTCCTCCTTTTCACCTCTGCTCTGTTTTCCTCTCTGTGGCAAGTCAGAGGGTTCTCTGCTTTCTACAAGGCAGTCGGAGGAAAATGTCCTGACCCCAGCATAGTAAATGCAGACTACTTAACCAAATCCACTCATCTAGACCGACTCCTGATAAGGCCCGAAGATGCAAACAGACAGACACTTTGGGGATGGAGGAGAGGGCATGTGGGGATGGGATGGGCAAGGAAGGCACAGCAGGCAAATAAAGGCGACAACCGGATTTAAAATGCGTACCTACCAGAAATGACTAAAGCTCATTCTCTTATGTTACAGTAATACAAGATAAATAAAAGCAGAAAGTGCTAGTTTTATTTTAATGTAGAAGAAAAAGATAGTGGATGCATGAAAAAGAGAAATTGAACAACTTGCTTTTACTTATGGCATGGCAGACATTTAAAAGAAAAATAACCTACTAGCCTCAGCAGTAAGTGAACTACCAAGGTTCCTACTAATAAAAAGTTCAAATCTTAGCAAAAGGTTGACACATGACGTTGGATGAATACTCATTACCACAGAGTTCAATCTGTTTTTCAGAACAGCGGAACACACCTCACCTACCAGCTGCAGATAGTTTCGGTGCCTTCCAGAACTTGTTCTGATGCCCTTGGTTGCTGACCTCATGCCCTTCCACCTGGCCCTGCAAATACTTCACACTTTGCCTTGCGAGCTCCAAATCTTCTCCTAGGTGTGGAGAGGCAAAGCAGTGGCCAAAGGGCTTGTTGGCGCCGCGTAAAGCCAGGAGAAAAGAAGGGGCACTGATCCTAAATAGCGTCCGACAACTCCCTTCTCCTAGGTGTGGAGAGGCAAAGCAGTGGCCAAAGGGCTTGGTGGCGCCGCGTAAAGCCAGGAGAAAAGAAGGGGCACTGATCCTAAATAGCGTCCGACAACTCTGAAATGTGCCCCATCTTCTCGCCCTCCCCACCTCCACCTTCTTTAAGCCTCATTCCTTGAAAGGAAGTTCTGAACGTAGGTCCTAACCTACTTCGTTTTCATGTTTTCCTTAAAACTGCTGCCCACATTTTCTGAGAAGAAAAATCGGAGAGGTGTGTCTTCCCTCTAAGTTCTAACACAATAGCCTCTATCAGACAGACCATGGGTGTCACAGATAATGGCTACTGCTAGCTCAGATTTTGGTAGTGACAATACCTAGTAATCCACAAAGATAATGGCGTCCCCTTTTCTGTATGACACACTGTGAGTTTAGATAATCTTATTTTTGGTTTAAAAAATAACAGCTACAAAACATATTTTTAAAAAATATTAAGCCATAATTCTTTCCCTTCTTTAGATATTTTTATGATCTCATTCATCTCTTCACAAACATTTAAAAACACCTAAACCATGACAGTTAAACAAACACAATCTACCATAGCATGCTGAAGTTGATTGGAAAATTCAAGTCTGTTCAAAATGACAACACGCTCTATTACTGCTTAACTGAAATGACATACATGACTGTTTAAAAAGGGAAGGGCTGGGGTACCACTTTTCACACACACTAAATGTCTAGCTACAGACAATTACACTCTAGTCCAGTCCTTTTTCCAACTCTCTTGGAAGCTGCCCTGTGGTATCCTTAAATGCCCTCTGGAACTTTGGTATCACCTTCATTGCGATATGCTTTGTGCACTTTCTCGGACACGGCAATGCCCATACTAAGGCAACACATCACACAAGTTGGCAGCGATGCTATCAGCAAGAATTTGGCTTCAGAATCAGGAGTGATTCATCATACATTCTAGCAGCAGGAAAACAACACGCTATTTTAATCCCTTGGTGCTATCAAGAATCAAAAAACAGTGAAATATAATTAAGCAAAGGCAACAAAATCATATGTGCTATAAGACTTCTAAACACATATTCATTTTTAAGACTTTTTAATAAAAGTCACTTAGAAAACAACAGACTACTTACCTTATTTCATAATATTTATTAGTGACAAATCAAAATTTAACTTAATAAATTTTCAGGACAAAGCAGGCAGTGCAAACTTCTTCAAAGTAACATACCAAAATTCTAAATTTAGAAAACAAAACTCTCATTGGCTTTACAGTAAATAAAGTCCCTCCTAGCGTTTCAAAAGTAATCCATTTCTTTCATCTTCTCTCCCCGTTTTTGAGATGACTCCAACTTAAAGTCTATGACAGTGGACGGGCTACTGTGTCCACCGCAACCAAACACAGACAGCAAACCGAATTCGGTGGGCGACTCACTCAGGACCCTTCTTTTCATTTTTCAGAGGCACCTCAACCCCGACAAGAAACACTACTGGGTCAGTACGAGAATGGAACCACTTGAGTCCTGTGGCTCCGTTCACTGGGCGTGCGACCAACGTCCACGCCGGGCCGTCCCTCTCCGTGAGTGCAGCACGTGGACGGCCGTTAGGATCACCAGCCGGTATTTCTACAGAACCACCCTCGTGAGTTCAGTCTACGGTTTGCCAGTAGATCTGATAAAAACTCAGAGGAAAGCACAGCCCTACCGCGCCGTGAGCAAGCCCTCCGCGCGGGAAGGCGACGCCTGCAGACCCCGGCACGCGCTTTCGGGGACCCCTACCTTCTCAAACACCTCCGCGCTCGCCCTGCGCTTCCGTTTTCGGGGTCTCCGGTTCACTCGGATCCACTTCGTGACCTGAAGTTCGAAAACCAGAGCATTTAAAACGCGACGGTGGGTCCTGAGGGCCGCCCCCCGGCGTGACAGGAGCGCCCACGGCCTCGCGGCGCTGTGCCCGCCTCCGCGGGAGCCCAGGGCAGCTTTCGGGCCGACCGCAGCA